ACAATGAAGTACCTCTCTCACCTCTTACCCCCCCCCCCTCATCTAATTAAAAAAACGCCCCCCCTCCCCAATACCAAAAATAAAAAATTCCCAAACAGAACAATATAAAACCTACACAAAAACACCCACCCCCTTCCCTTTCCACCCAAACAAACACCCTTAGTTCCAGTGGTGTGAGCCAACCTACCAGCACTCGGAAGCTACACTCGTCCTTGACCCCAACACTCTCTGCCATGACGAAGCTGCACTCGTAGGTGAGGTCAAATGTCGCGTTGTCGAACGTGCGATAGTGAGGGTCACCCTTCACGTCACACACACACAGATCTACAGAGGGATAGGACAGGTTGTCACACACACACATGCATACAAACACACACACACACACACACACACACACACACACACACACACACACACACACACACACACACATCTACAGGGGGATAGGACACTCGACAAACATGCTCCCGTAGTCACTCGTAAGATTTCACAAAGACCAGCATCTCCGTGGTTAACTCTCGAGATCAAAGAGGCCAAAAAACAACGAAGGAAAGCGGAGAGACAGCTTAGAAAGACAGGCCTCCACGTCCACAAACAGATTTTGGCAACTGAACCAAACAACCTCAACACCCTGATTGAAAACAACAAGAAACAATTTTATCTTAACAAGTTTCAAAATGTAAACTCCCGCAAGGAGCTTTTTCGATTATCTGAACAATTATTGGGAAGGGAGAATTGTACACGGTTTCCACTTGGAACTGATAAAGAACTTTGTTGTAATTTTCTGCATTTATTCAATGACAAAATTGAAAGAATAAGAACTGATTTAGACTCTGATATGTCAGATGTAAATACAAATATAGTTGTTGATGAAAATCTTGCAATTATGAACAAATCAACATTGAGTGAATTTAAAGTGGTATCAGAGAAAGATGTCATTAAGTATATCAAAGAGTCCCCCGCTAAAACATGCGACTTAGACCCAATACCCACTTCATTGTTAGTTACGTGCATTGAAGATCTCACACCATTTGTTACTCGTTTTTGTTAATATGTCACTCACCACTGGAATTGTACCTGATCTTTTCAAACAAGAGATTGTAAAATCTTTACGTAAAAAACAAGGTCTTGATGAAAACATGTCAGTGAAAATTGGCAATGATGTGTCAGATATGTTACCTCTAAAGTATGGAGTTCCTCAGGGTTCGGTCCTTGGTCCTGTCATCTTTACAATGTACACGCAAAGTCTGTCATCAATAATTTTTTATATGCCCTCAATTACCATCTTTATGCAGACGATACACAGCTGTATGGATTCACTACAACTGACAATGTACACAATCTCATAGATATAATCGCCAGATGTATCAATGATATAAGAAAATGGATGCTCAAGAACAAATTAAAAATAAATGAGGATAAGACCGATATATTAATTCTTCGTGGCAGCGCATGCAATGAAAGCGACAATATCAGAATAACATCAGTGGCCACGAAATATCAGCCCAAACTAAAATTAAAAATGTTAGGTGTAGTGCTAGATCAAGATATGTCAATGAAATCCCATGTATCCAATCTTTGTTAAAATCAATATCTCCAACTGAAGAAAATAGGGAGCATTCGAAAATATTTATCTGTTGGTGTCACCAAAACTTTAATAACATCACTTATATTGTCAAGGATTGATTATTGCAATTCCTTACTGGCTGGTGTACCTGATGAACAGTTACAACAACTAAAAAGAGTACAAAATATTGCGGCCAAAATAATTACTAACAAACTAAAGCATAATCATGTGACTCCTATTTTAAAAGAACTACACTGGCTCCCGGTGAAAGAGCGTATCATTTAATATATAAAATCTGTATAACTTGCTACAAGTTCTTACATGATTTATCACCTGACTATCTAAAACAGTTTTTAACACCCTATGTACCTCCTAGAACGCTCAGATCATCACGTGAAAAAACAACCTTTGTTAAACATAAAATAAATTACAAATCATATGGCCCACGCTCTTTTTCATATTTTGCTCTACTTGTTTGGAATAGGCTTCCAAAAACTATCAGAGAAGCAGAAAATCTAGAAATTTTAAAGAAGAAACTAAAAGCATTTCGATTTTCATCATATTTCGATTAGACAGAATTTATCCAAGCTGTAGATCGTTGTGTGTTTGTATGTGCGTATGTGCTAATGTACGTATGTGTGTATGTGTGTATGTGTGTACCACGTGCGTGCTTTAATATGTGTGTGTACGCGTATGTAGCACTATGTGCCTTTAAAATTGATTTGTAAATCCATAACATGTATCATGTTAAGCGCATAGAGCATCGCATAAGTGGATATGCGCTATATAGATGCAATCCATTATTATTATTATTATTATTATTATTATTATTATTATTATTATTATTATTATTTTTATTTTTATTATTGTGACACACACACACATACACACACACACACACACACACACACACACACACACACACACACACACACACACACACACACACTCATAGATTTACAGGGGGGATAGAAGAAGGTTGTCACACACACAC